CTTCGCTTGTCGTTCGCAATATTTCCACGCCAAAACATAAATATAAGAGCGAGCATGTGTTCATAAAAATGAAAAATACTAAAAATATAAGTTCAGTACAAAAGGTTGAAAGTTATCCTACGGATACGCTTGAACTTTTGGTACCAAATCCTTAAAGTTTCATACTTGTGTACAAAATCTTTTGCATGATTGGCTTACTATAACACCATGTTTTAAAGAAAATACCCAGAATAAACCAGTAGATAAACGAAAACTATGAAAAAATACTAGAAAATTCGCCAGAAGAACAAGGAAAATCTTAAAGATTTTCTTTGATCCGGGCCTCGGTCCCAGCTGAACTTAATGTTTTGTCCTAGTCTCGCACATGTCTACTCGTGACATGTTTGAAATCAACAAGACAGGGTCGGAATGAAGAAGATTTGATCTTACAAAGAACTGTTAAACGCGAAAACTGTTTTCTGCTCCTTCCTTAAGGCAACTTTTGATATCAGGAGAGGCGGGCTTATCGCGTACTTTCTCTCTTCTTTGACTAGGATCTTGTTGCTACTATTTTAGGAAAAGCCGTTCTTGGTTACCAACCGGCTAATTTTACTGTATTGATCGATTTTTGCAATCAGTAGTCACTCCTGCTGGAAATTAAGAGAAGTGAAGTTCGTTGTTAGTTGTAATAATCTTTTATCTAATTTAACGTCCTCGTCCGGTGGAAAACAGAGAAGTCATTGGTAATATGAATCATCTGGTTTGCATTTGAATTTCCTCTCCGATCGCAAAAATACCAGTTTCTCTGTATCTCTCTTTAGAATCAATTTTGTTGAAAATATTTATTGTTAAATTATTTTAGGCCAACGTTCATCTCTCATCGAAAGTACAATTCGAAGATAATACTGAAGATATTGCTAAATTGGAACGAGCGTTAGCCGATTTACAACAACAAGATCTGAACAGTATACTTTATCAAAAAGAAACATTAAATGCAGAAGATCGTCGAAAATCACTCTAACAAAAGAACCATCATGGACAAGTCTTTATTCACCAAGTAAAAAAATTTTCTTTTTCAATATTTTATTCATAAAGAAATTTGATTTATAGGTGTTCAAATGGCACAATATGCTTATCATCCACAACATTATCTATCAACTCAACCATCTCATTGTTTATTAGTCTATAAACCACAACTACAACAACTCATACCGACAATAAGAGCAACAAATGTCGGTTCAAAACGACGACGTAGTCCATCATCATCTCATATCTATTCATCACCATCACACAAATCATCATGATCGACACTCGTTTCACAAATGCACAAACGTATATTTTTTATACTTTACATCTATATAAAATTCGAGTTTTCTTTCTTATCAGGATCACCAAGTCCCAGATGGATCTTTTCTTCCTCATCATCACAGCAAGTAGCTCGTAATGGAACACCGGGATCAGCAATTGATTTTCCTCAAACACAAAACCAATCAACATTCTCTGCTTATCTCAGTTATATGTCACCATCATCAGCCACTGCTAATGCCTCAGCTTCATATGTCAGTCAAATGCCACGTATCCGAGGACCATCATAAATACCGAGTAAGTAAAATATCAAAATGAGAAATTAAACAAAAGAAAAACGTTTTTTTTCCTATTCAGATTATCTCAATCCATTATCATTTTTACCACAACCAATTGTTGAACCAAAACAATAACAGATAAATGTTTATCCACATCATCCAATATTAATTTCATCTAAAAACTGATCAATTATGAATAGATTATCCATTACAACCTCAAGAGTAGTTATGATCTTCTTTCTATCGTTTCTTATTGTGTCCATATAAATGTTTTTTTCTTTGTTTTTTGCTTAATGCTGTTTTTTTGTTTACTTTTAAAAAACAAACAAACAATTTATTCAATGTTGGATATATATGTATTGTCCAAAATTATTTCAGATTATTCTTTCTTGAATAGAAAAAATCAAACAATTATTATGTCTCATTCATATACAAAAATGAAAAATAAATTATTTTCTGATACGATACCAATTGATGATCTTGATTCAAATGAACAAGAAATTCGACAACGATCATTTATTCGTCCACGTGTACGTATTAAAGATTTTCTTAGACAAAAAGAATACCCCCCCCCCCCCCCCCTTGGAAACCCCGGGACCCCCCCCAAAAATTTTTTTGAAATTTGGCCGGGCCCCCACGCGGGGTGTTTTGGGAAATTTTGCGGGTGTGGGGGGGAAAATAATAAGCCCC